AAGAGCTTCGCGGATTCAGGGCAGTTCATTTTCAACATGTGGCTCTCGCCTTAGCGCCGCGCACATTCGTTTTTAAAATTTGCAAGAGCTTCACGGATTGAGGGCGGGCCGTTTTCAACGTGTGGTTTTCGCCTTAGCGCCGCGCACATTTGTTTTAGAAATTGCAAGAACTTCACGGATTGAGGCCGGCTCGTTTTCAAAATGTGGCTCTCGCCCTAGCGCCGCGCACACTCGACTTAAAAATTTAAAAGAGCTTCACGGATTGAGGGCGGGTCGTTTTCAAAATGTGGCTCTCGCCTTAGCGCCGCGCACTTTTTTTGTCTTTGTCTTTTTTCTTTTTATTATATATATATATGTGTGTGCTTTTTTTTTTAAAAAAAAAAAAAAAAAAAAAAAAAAAAAAAAAAAAAAAAAAAAAAAAAAAAAAAAAAAAAAAAAAAAAAAAAAGATTCACGGATTGAGGGCGGGTCACTTTCAAAATGTGGCTCTCGCCTTAGCGCCGCGCACATTCGTTTTTAAAAAATGCAAGAGCTTCACTGATTGAGGGCGGTGTATTTTCAACATGTGGCTCTCGCCTTCGCGCCGCGCACATTTGTTTGGATCACTCGTCTCTCCCAGTCCTCATCCTCCTGCACAACTTCCTCCTGGTCTCCCTCCTACTCCTCCTCCTCCTCCTCCTCCTCCTCCTCCTCCTCCTCCTCCTCCTCCTCCTCCTCCATCCCCTTCCCATATTAAACAATCCTCCATGTCGCACCCGCAGACGTGTCGGTAGATCGGGCCCAGCGTTTCGTCTGAGACGTCCTCACCACTTATGATCCTGAGTCTCAGAATTTGCCACTGATTCACGGATGGAGGCGGGTCGTTTTCAAAATGTTGTTCTCGCCTTAGCGCCGCGCACATTCGTCTTTAAAGCGCGTCAATGTGTCAAAGATGTACGGCGGGCCATTTTCAAGTTCTGGCGATCGCCTTAACGCCACGAAAATGCATCTGAAAAGTTTGCAACAGTTTCAAGCATGGAGGGCAGGCCGTGTTCGAAATGTGGCTCTCGCGATATCGCCGCACACATTCGTTTTAAACTGTGCAGCAGCGTCGAAGACGTAGGGCGATCTGTCTTCAACATGTGCTTCTCGCCTTGGCGCCGCGCACATTCGTCTTAAAACTTAGCAGTAGTTCCCAGGAACCGTATGATTGAAGTCCCAGGAATGATGTTCTGGCACGAGTGAGGGCTGTCAGGGCGCAACAGTCACGTTCATTCGCGGCGTTGAAGTCCCAGGAAGGGCGATCTGGCACGACTTAGAGGTGACAGGACGCAAAACTCACGTTGATCCGCGGCGTTGAAGTCCCAGGAATGGTGTTTCCAGGCACGACTGGGGACTATAAGACGCATGTCTTTGTGGGGCACTGCACGCACTGACAGAAACTTGTAAACACCTAGCATGGAAGGAACTTGAAGAGGGAACTTGGAGGAAGGATGTACTGCAGCATCGCTGATGCGCCTTGGGTTTACACTGGTCCTCGTCCTCCTCCTCCCACTCCTGCTTCCCCTCCTCCTCCTCCTCCTCCTTCTCCTCCTCCTCCTCCTCCTCTTCCTCCTCATCCGCCTCATCAACATCCTCCTCATCCCCGCGCGAGAGCGGGCGAAATGGTTTCCTTGTCTAAGCGCCGCGCAGCTTGTGTGTTTGTGTGTGCGCGTGCGTGTGAGAAAATGGCAAATTATTCGTCTTCGCCGCACTCATCGGAAATTTCGCCGCCCGACGGAATACTAGATGGTGCTCTCGTCACAGCGCCGCGCAATGATTTCCCGAAAGCCCGCTCCCACCCGTGCACGGCCATCGTTGTTTCCTCCCGCCAAGTCGTCGGAAGCAGGACCGCGCGCGAGCGCCTTCCGTTCGCTAGGTGGGAACGCGTTCCAGTCGATCTACCAAATTGCACTTATGCTATGGGAGAGGAGGTGGGAATTGGCGGGGCCTTCTGACTCTGTCGGCCTGGCTAGCTTGGCTCCTACTCCTACTCCTCCTGATTGTCCTGCCCGTCCTTCCTTGCCTCCGCACCCGCATGCCAAGTCGACCTGCGACAGTCCTGGGGCCTTCGGTGGACCTCCCCAGAAGCAGAGCCTCCTGTTTATTTTGCCTGTCTCGCCTTCGCCGACATCGCCGACACCACGGCGTGGCGGCGGCGACGGCGACGACCAGCTACGACGGCGGCGGCGACGGATGCGGCAATGGCAGCGACAGCGGAGGCGGCAACGGCGGCGGCGACGGAGGCGGCACCGACGAAGCGGCGGCGCCGACGAGGCGGCACCGACGACGGCGCCAGCGACGACCAGCGACGGACACGGCAGAGGCCACAGCGAGGACCGGCGACGGCGGCGGCGACGACGGCGGCGGAAACGGCAGCTGCGGCGAAGACGGCAAAGGTGGTGACAACGGAGGCGCACCGACGAAGCGGCGGCGCCGAAGAGGCAGCACCGACGACTGGCAACGGCCGGCGAGGCGGTACCGACGAGGCGGCGGCGACTGGCAACGGCCACGGCGACGGCCACACCGACGACGACGACGACGACGACGACAACGACAACGACGACGACGACGACGACGACGACGACGACGACGACGACGACGACGACGGCGACGGCGAAGACGAAGACGAGGCGGCGGCGGCGGCGGCGCCTCCTGCAGCGCCTGCCGCGCCGCACGAACGTCGCCGCGCTGCGCGGCGCCAAGGAGCGCGCCGCTGGCGTCGGCGACCTGGCGCAGCGCCGACCTGACCTGGTCAGACACGGAGGCGGCGGCGACAGCCACCGCGTCGACGGCGGCGACGGCTGCGGCGGCGTCAACGGCATTGTCGACGGCAGCGGCGGCTGCGACGGCTGCGGCGGCGTCGGGATTCCGATGCTTTTTGCCCTTTCGGGCCTCCTGGGAGTGTTCCGTTACCACGGCGACTTGGGCGAAGACGGAGACGACGACGGCGACGACGACGACGACAACGACGACGACGACGTCGACGTCGGCGCCGTCGACGTCGTCGACGTCGTGCGGCGCGGCAACGACGACGACAACGATGATGATGCTGATGCTAATGCTAATGCTAATGCTAATGCTAATGCTAATGCTAATGCTAATGCTAATGCTAATGCCAATGCTAATGCTAATGCTAATGCTAATGCTAATGCTAATGCTAATGCTAATGCTAATGCTAATGCTAATGCTAATGCTAATGTTAATGCTAATGCTAATGCGAATGCTAATGCTGAATGCTGAATGCTGAATGCTGAATGCTGAATGCTGAATGCTGAATGCTGAATGCTGAATGCTGAATGCTGAATGCTGAATGCTGAATGCTAATGTGCTAATGCTAATGCTAATGCTAATGCAAATGCAAATGCAAATGCTAATGCTAATGCTAATGCTAATGCTAATGCTAATGCTAATGCTAATGCTAATGCTAATGCTAATGCTAATGCTAATGCTAATGCTAATGCTAATGCTAATGCTAATGCTAATGCTAATGCTAATGCCAGCTAATGCTAATTATCATGCAATTGCGAATGCGAATGCTAATGCGAATGCGAATGCGAATGCGAATGCTAATGCTAATGATAATGCTAATGCTAATGCTAATGATAATGCTAATGATAATGCTAATGCTAATGCTGATGCTGATGCTAATGCTAATGTTAATGTTAATGCTGATGCTGATGCTAATGCTAATGCTGATGCTGATGCTGATGCTGATGCTGATGCTGATGCTGATGCTGATGATGATGCTGATGCTGATGCTGATGCTGACGCTGACGCTGATGCTGATGCTGATGCTGATGTTGATGCTGATGCTGATGCTGATGCTGATGCTGATGCGGATGACGACGGTGAAGATGGTGAAGATGGTGATGGCGATGGTGATGGTGATGGTGATGGTGATGGTGATGGTGATGGTGATGGTGATGGTGATGGTGATGGTGATGGTGATGGTGATGATGGTGATGGTGATGTTGATGGTGATGTTGATGGTGATGCTGATGCTGATGCTGATGCTGATGCTGATGCTGATGACGATGGCGATGGCGATGGTGATGGTGATGGTGATGGTGATTGTGATGATGATGGTGATGGTGATGGTGTTGGTGATGGTGATGGTAGTGGTGATGGTGATGGTGATGCTGATGGTGACGGTGATGGTGATGGTGGTGGTGATGGTGAAGATAATGGTGATGATGTTGATAATGATGATGGTGAGGATGATGATGAAGATGAGGATGAAGATGATAATGATGATGATGATGATGATGATGATGGTGATGATGGTGATGATGATGATGAAAACGATAACTATCATGATAATAATGATGGCGGGAACAACGACACCGGCGCTGACGACAACATTATGCGACGGCGGCGACGGCGACCACGACGATGTTAACGACTACATCATCGAAGCTGGCAACGACGTCGTTTGCGGCGTGACGACGACGACGACGACGACAACGACGACGACGACGGCGACGGCGACGACGTCGACGACCTCGACGATCTGGCGACGGCGACGCCGTGGTCGCAGCCGCAGGAGGGCGCGAGGGAGGGAAGGAGGGTGGCAGGCAGGGCGGGAAGGATGGAGAGAGGGGGAGAGGGGCTTGCCATCGCTTCGGACGTCTATTCCCCGTGCATTGTTTGGTTTCGCGCGTGCACTCTTCGCCAGGTGGTCCAGAGGATGCTCCCCAATGGCCCTCGCCGAGGAAAGAAAAGCACACTTCCGAGCGATGCCAAGGGGGGGGGAGGCAGGGAGGGAGGCAGGGAGGGAGGGAGCAGCACGGGGGGGCCTGGGAGCGGGAGCTCGGGGCGGGAGCGGGCGAGCGGGAGGCGGGCGAACGGGAGGCGGGCGAACGGGAGGCAGGCGCGGGTAGACGAGCGCGTTCCACTGCTCGCAGAGTAACTGCTCGCAGATGGCCCGGATCCGCCGCGGGGGATCTGCGAGGAATCTCTCGCCGAAGCAACCACCTGTTTTTGGAGACGTCTGCGGGTAGGCACCCTGCGAGCAGTGCAGCGCGCTCGGTGACGAACGGGAGCGTGGGAGGGGGGGAGCCCTCGAGGGGCGCGCGCGGGGCTGGTGCCGCGGGGCCGCCTCCAGATACTCCCTGGCGTGGTCCGCCACGGTGTTGGAGTCCTCGAAAAGAAGGGGGGGGAGGGGCGGCGGTGCCCGGCGGCCCGGGCGGCCCGCAGCCCCCGACCCCCGCCTCCTCCCTGGGGGGGATCGGGGAGGATCCTCGAGGAGGATCGAGGATCGAGGAGGATCGAGGATCGAGGATCGAGGAGGATCGAGGAGGAACGAGGACCGAGGATCGAGGGTCGAGGAGGCCCTCAGCCCCTGCCAGAGAAAGAGGAGGAGGCTCGGGGATCGAGGCTCGCACTCGTCGCCCTGCTGGGAGCTCGGGGAGGCTTCTCGTCGCCACGCCCGGATTTCCCCTCGAGGCTCTGGACAAGCACCCCGGGAGGAGCCCAGGAACCGTTTTGGAGGGAGGAGGGAGGAACGAGGCTTCGGATCGCGTCTGCCACGTCCTGGGCCTCTGGAAAAGGCCTCCAGGGACCTCCGAAGGCCTCGAGAGTTCAGCGGCCTCCCCCTCTTCCTCCCTCCCCCATCCCTCCTCATCCTCCTCCTTCTCGTCCTCCTCCTCCTCCTCCTCCTCCTCCTCCTCCTCCTCCTCCTCCTCCTCCTCCTCCTCCTCCTCCTCCTCCTCCTCCTCCGCCTCCCCGCAGATGCTGCAACAGACCCTCCTGGGCCCAGGGCCCCCTCCTCGCAGCGAAGCACGCGTACGTCGCGACCCTGCGGCGAGCGCCCACCAGAAAAAAAAAACCTGGGCCCTGTGGGTCTGCGAGGCGGGAGCCCTGCATGCTTCGAAGGGCGCATTGGCGGTCGCATGTTCGGCTTCGGCCAGCTTCGGCCGCAGATCGTCACAGCACACAACCGCTTCGAGGATGAATCGCACTGCCCACGAGGGCCACGGCAACCGCCAGCAGGCCACAAAGAAAGCCCCGACAGGGCCCAAGAAGCCTCCACGAGGCCCAGAAGGGGCCCCCAGACGGCCCCCGACAGATCCCAAAATGACCCAACAGGGCCCGTTTTGAGCACGGTGTGCGAATTCCCAGACGCACGGCGCATACACGCTTCTACGACAACGCCCACTGGAAGAGTGGCACCCAGCGCTCCCAAGGGGTCGGCGGTGCGGCGTAAGCCAATAAATCACTTCGAGAGGGGATCGCACTCCATCCATGCACATGGTGGAAATTATGGGAAAGAGTACGCGGCGCTGGAGCGAGTGTATGATTGTGAGAAAGGAGCCAATCTCCATCTGTGCGGGTGCTGAAAACGTCAAGCCTTCTCATCTCAGAACGCAAGCAGGCCTGAGGCGAGAGAAAGACTTTGAAAAGGGGCCACCCGCCGTCTGTGTCGCAGTTGAAAGCGGCAGGCTTCCAGGCAATGCTTTTGAACACCACCGTTGGGGAAACGTGCGAGACAGATCTGCGCGGTGCTGCGGCAAGAACCACGCTTTCGAAACGATGTGTAGGTAGGGCATTTTGTTGGTGACGAATGCGCGTGACGATAAGGGCGAGAATCACGCCTTGAACACCACCCAACCCCCGTCCGTCTTACTGCTAGACAAGGATGAGAGGAATGTGCACGGAGCTACGGCGAGAGTTTTGAAAAGGTACCTCCTTCCACCGGGGTGTACGTTATAGGCTTTCAAGACGGATGTGCGTGGCGCAAGGGAGACAAGTACAATTTCAACACTGTGTACCCGCCATCGACCCGTGCCAATGATGGAAACGTTTGGGATGGATGTGCGCGGCGGTGAAGAGCCACATGTTCAACACCACCAACATGCTGTCCGTGAAGCTGCTAGCATCGGTAGCCTTGGGGAAAAAATGTGAGGAACTCTCAAAGGCACGACCCTCTCGCCCTACCGATACGTCTGGTGGTACAACGACAAAGCCTTACTTGAAAGGCAAAGACAAAAAAGGAGAAGGGGGAACGAGAGGGAATGTCTTCGATTGGTTCGGCAAGTTATCGGGGGAATATGGAGGCCCTTATCATCATCATCATCATCATCATCATCATCATCATCATCATCATCATCATCATCAGCATCATCATCATAATCATCAGAATCATCGTCATCATCAGCATCATCATCATCGTCATTGTCCTCCTCCTCCTCATCCTCAGCATCATCACCACCATCATCACTATCATCGTCATCACCATCATCATCACAATCATCATCACCATCATCATAATCATAGTCACCATCATCAGCATCATCAACATCATCAACATCATCATCATCATCGTCATCGTCATCGTGATCATCATCAATAACAGCATCCTTATCATCGACGTCGTCGTCCTCCTCATCATCGTGATCGTCGCCATGTTTCATCATCATCGTCATCATCATGAGCGTCATAACCACCACCACCACCATCGCAATCATCATCATCGGCAGCA